GAACGGCCGCCGCTGGGAAATGAAGAGAAGTAATCCTCTAGCGCGCTCACGCCCACGCGCAGGCGCACTGCGAAACTCCCGCCGGCTCGCCGCCCCTTCGCCCCATGAGTACGCATGCGCACAGAAAGATGCTGGCGGAGGCGGATCCTGCTATTGGCCTATCCCGGGTGCGGTGGGCGGGACGTAAGGGCATAAGGGGTTCCGCTTCCGCTGAGAGGCGGAAGTCTCTGTCTCCCGGGTGAACGAGGCTGTCGCCAGGAGGGAAGGCTGGTGCAGGTGACGGTGCACGCGGGAGGGCGTTGGAGCCGGGCGGGCCGGGTGCTCTTCGACTCGGGACGGCTCACGGGGTACCGGAGGGGGCGCCGAGGGCCCGGGGGTTGGAGGGTGGCCCGTCAGGGAGCTTGACTCCCCCGGGTCCCAGCCGGCTGAGCGCGCAGCTCGGAGGCGCCGCCGAAGCCTGGGTGAGCCTGTAGGGACCGCCCGCCCTCCGCCTCCGGAGTCTCGGCAGGATCGGAGGCCGACCCCCTTCCGTCCCTCTGTCCGCGCGTTTGGCCGCCGTCCCCGAAAGCACCGGCCGAGGGACCTGGGGCTTAATGGCAGGCCAGCCCCCTGTTCTGTGGTGGGCGGGGTATTGTAGTCACCGGGTAAAATAAGATGGGGCGGGGTGAGACTTCTGTAGCGTCTGATTCAGGAGACCCATTTATTCATTCAACTGGGAGTTACTGAGCGCCTAATGCGTACCCGTCACTATGCATCCTGGGGCTTCAGCAGCGGGCAAGTCACGTCCCGACCCCTCTCAGAACTGACATCTCAGTGTGGGTAGATCTGGGGTGAGGCTCAGAAATCAGCCTTTTCGGAGGGCCCCCAGGTGACTCTGTTGCAGGTGGTACCCAGGGCTGGACTTTGGGGGTGGGAAACTGCCCTGGTGGGTGATAGCATGGGCTCCAGAACTGACTACACCTTACTGAAGTCTGCAGGGTTTTGTGGGGTCTGGCTGCTGCTTCCCGCTTCTGTCGCATCTCATACCCATCTCCCCACTGTTCAGGATCTTCCGCTGTATCAGTCTTTCTCTTTCTGGAGAAAAGCTTCTGCCTCGAAGCCTTTGCAGTTGCTGTACCCTCTGCCTGGACTGACCACCTTGCACAGTGCCTTCTCGTCGTCATTCAGGTTTCATCTTAAGTGACTTACCCAGAGGTCCTTCCCACGCTGCCCTTAATGGGGTTTCCGGAGGTGTTTCACCTCGCCCTGGTATTGACCTTGTAGGCTTACCAGTGTTTGGAGTGATTTCCATAGAAGTTTCACCAGAGCAGAAACCTTGCCTGCCTTGATTGCAGCATTGGTGCGGTGTAGCGTTGGGCCTGGCGTTACTTTATTCACTCATTGGCTCAGTAAATATTTGTTGAGTGCTAGCTCTGTGCCATGAACAATTCTCGGCTCCGAGGATACGAAGAAATGCCGGAAGTCCCTGGCCTTGTGGAATTTACATTTGGAGGTGCAGGGAGACCAAAGGGGAGGCTGTTGTGATCACCCAAGCCAGAGATGACCAGGACTCTGGACTCAGACCAGGACAATAGCCCCGGAGGTGGTGAGAAGTCAGGTTCTGAGTGTGTGTTAGAGGAGCAGCGGGATCAGGATCAGATTAAGAGTTGGGTGTAAGAGAGAGAGGAATCGAGGATGAGTCCGAGGTTTTTGGAAAGACGGATCTGCTGTCTGCTGAGATGGGGAAGACTGGGAGAAAGCAGGTTGAAGTGTCAGGAGCTCAGTTTTCGACAGGTTACTTTTAAACGTTTGTTAGCATCAGATGGAGGTGTGACCAAGACAGGCAGAGGGTGAGTCTGTGGTTCAGAGGTCACATCGAGGCCAGAGAGGCCGGTGGCCATCGGTGTGGAAGAGGCATGGAAGCCTTGAGGCTGGATGAGATCTCCATGGAGGGGAGTGTCGGCAGAGGAGAGGGGCCCAGAGACTGAGCTTGTGGGCTCCTTGTTAGAGAATCGGGGGGAGGTCAGCAGCAGAGAGTGGAAGGAACTGTCAGGGAATCAGAGGTGTAAGATGCAGGTTCTGAGGGTCTCATGGGAAGGGCAGGAAGAGAAAACCAGTGTGCCCAGTGCCCTGAGGAGTGGGGACTGCCCCTGGGACGGGCAGCATGAGGCTGGTGGTAGAGAGTATGGGAGGGAAAACAGCTCTCCTAGAAACTGCAGAGAAGGAGATGTTTTGTTTTGTGGTGGTTTGTTTTTTGATTTGTTTTTTAATTGTTTGTTAATGACCTTGTAGAGACAGAAAATGTGATGTTGGGATCCAGGGACAAATTGTTTTTATGGGGACTTCGAATATCCGTCCAAGGCAAAGGAGGGAAGGCCGCATGGGATGTGCTCTGCCAGCTGTTTTTGTTTACAAAGTGACTTGGACTCATCCATAGTTAAAATTGATGATGTTGCCACAACGTGTGTGTACCTAGAGGGTATTATACCAAGTGAAATAAGTCAGAGAGCCAAAACCGTTTTGGTTCAGTGGATAGAGTGTCGGTCTGCGGACTGGAAAGTCCCAGGATCGATTCCAGTCAAGGGCATGTACCTTGGTTGTGGGCATATCCCCAGTAGGGGGTGTGCAAGAGGCAGCTGATCGATGTTTCTCTTTCATTGATGTTTCTGGCTCTATCCCTCTCTCTTCCTCTCTGTAAAAAAAATCAATAAAAATTTAAAAAGTTAAAAAAAAGAAATAAGTAAGAGAAAGACAAATGCCATATGCTTTTACTTATATGTGGAATATAAAGAATAAGATAAACAAGCAGCCATAACTCGTTTGGCTCAGTCGGCCTGCAGACTGAAGGGTCATAGATGTTTGTAACTTTCTATCCCTTTCCCTTCCTCTCTGTTAAAAAAAAAAAAAAAAAAAAAAAGATAAACAAGCAAACAAAACAGAAACAGACTCATAAATGTGGAGGACAAACTGATGGTTGCCAGAGGCAAGGGGCTTTGAGCTCACTGAAAAAGGTGAAGGAATTTAGGAATATAAATTGGTAGTTACAAAATACTTATGGGATGTAAAGTACAGCCTAGGAAATACAGTCTAATACTGTATGGTGCCAGTTGAGTACTGGGAATATCAGGGGAATACTTTGTAAAGTATATGATTGTCTAACAACTATGTTGTACACCTGCAACAAATACAAAATAATGTTGAATGTAAACTGTAATGAAAAGTTAAAAAAATTTTTTTTAAATATATTTTTATTGATTTCAGAGAGAAAGGGAGACGGATAGAGAGCCCGAGGGATAGAGACCAGGGGCTTGTGCTCTGACCAGGAATCGAACAGTGACCTCCTGATGCATAGGTTGACACTCAACCACTGAGCCATTCTGGCCAGGCTTTAAATTTTTTTTTAATTTGCCGAGACTGGTTTGGCTCAGTGGATAGAGCGTCGGCCTGCGGACTGAAAGGTCCCAGGTTCGATTCCAGTCAAAGGCATGTACCGTAGTTGTGGGCATAACCCCAGTGGGAGGTGTGCAGGAGGAAGCTGATCGATGTCTCTCTCTCTCATTTATGTTTCTAACTCTCTATCCCTTTCCTTTCTTCTCTGTAAAAAAATCAATAAAATGTATTTTTTTAAAAAACTTTAATTAATGAGGATGTTACATAGAAAATGATTGGTACATATGAATGAAATTCTGGTCTTTCTTCTGGCAGGTTGCCAACCTCCCCTGTCATGGAGGAATGATCACAGAACCAGCAGTGGAGAGAGAAAGACAGAGTGTGATTGGGAGAGAGGGAGAGCCATTGGAAGGCTCAGGAACGGTGAATGCAGAGCCTTGAGCCCAGCGCCTGGCATAGAAATTCTTCCAGTGGTCTCTGCCTCCAAGACAAATGTCCCAATGGCACCTGACTCATTTTTTAAAATATATATATTTTATTGATTTTTTTTACAGAGAGGAAGAGAGAGGGATAAAGTTAGAAACATCGATGAGAGAGAAGCATCTATCAGCTGCCTCTTGCACACTCCCTATTGGGGATGTGCCTGCAACCAAGGTTCATGCCCTTGACAAGAATCGAACCCGGGACCTTTCAGTCCGCAGACCGACGCTCTATCCACTGAGCCAAACCGGTTTCGGCACCTGGCTCATTTTTGACAACACTGTTCTTTAGTGTTCGACACAGCCCTGCCCATCACAACCTTGGAGGTCGTTCTGGACTCTCCGTCTCTCGCCATACCCACTCATCCCACTGATTTCTCTCTTCAGTCTTGCCAACTGCTTTTCTCCTCCCCAAACAGCTCTGTCCCAGTTCTGACTTCCATCTTTGTCCAGACTTTTGACCTGTATCCCTCAGTCCCTTAAAAGCACAGGGTGAGGTTGTTGTTTCTCTCCCTGGCCATCAGGATCCCTCTGTTCCCTCTTCAGCCTGCCCCTCCCCCACTTGCGTGGTCCCCAACTGCTAGCCCAGCACTCAGATACCTGCCCCTCAGCCTCGACGTGACATTTCTCTGCTTGAAACACGTCTCTGTCAGATCCCTTGATGTCCTTCTCCTGGGTGGTCCTGGCGTGTCTTTTGACAAGAGGAGCAGCTGCTCCTAAAAATCGTCCGCCCCAGAGCACTTGGGCTCTGCCCAGCCCCGGGCAACTGGCCTGTCAGTCACTCGTGTTATCCTCACCAGGAACAGTGGCCTCCTGTGTGCCAGCGATGGATGGGCCACAGGCAAGGCAAGCACTTAGGATTCCGTCAGCCCCTGTGAGGTAGCAGCCTCAGCTCCTTGAGGCACAGAGAGCTTAGGTAACCTATTGGAGGTCATTAGCAAGTGGGGGGCGGGGCAGGGTTAGAATCTAGAACCCAGAGTGCACTGGAATTGTCTGCCGTCCCCAGAGGGTGCCATTGTGCAAGGCCTCCCCTCACCGTGGCCAGCTGGACCGTCTTCCCGGCCTGCTCCCAGAGCATCTGGAGGGCCTCCTGGGTCCCGTGAGTTGTTGACATCTGCCCTCCTCCCCTCACAGGTTCGCCCTCCTGCAGACATGGGGCGCAGGAAGTCCAAACGAAAGCCACCCCCCAAGAAGAAGATGACAGGCACCCTAGAGACCCAGTTCACCTGCCCCTTCTGCAACCACGAGAAATCTTGTGACGTGAAAATGTGAGTGGGGGATGGGGGCCAGCACCCTGCCTCCTGGCCTTCCGCCCTCAGTCGGGAATTGGCTCCCCCTCAAACACAGGCATCTTTGCTCATCAGTCCCTCCATCTCCTCCCTTTGCAGGGACCGTGCCCGTAACACCGGAGTCATCTCTTGTACCGTGTGCCTAGAGGAATTCCAGACGCCCATCACGTGTATCCTTGGGAAACTGGGCTTTACCCAGGGGGTGAGGGTGGGGTGGTCAGGGCTGCCCTGCCCAGCGTGGGCTGCTCAAGACCTCGGGCCTTGCTGTGTATCCTGTGCAGGGTTGTGGCCACCCAGAGGAATGGGTGCTACCTGCTTGCTTAAGTGGGGTGATATTGTGCAGGGCAGGGGTCTGGCTGACGGCAGCGTGAGCAGCAGAGGTGTATACGGGAAAGGGACGTGTCGGATGCCGGGAGTTGCCCTTGACTTCAGCCGCTCAGATCTGTCAGAACCAGTGGACGTGTATAGTGATTGGATAGATGCCTGTGAGGCCGCCAATCAGTAGCAAAACAGAGGACCCACCCCCTTAGCAGCCCTGCTGCCGAGGACCAGCCCACTGGGTACCAATCCAGAGACATTCCTGAGGTCCAGGGTGTGGGTCCAGGGCCTTCGCAGCCCCTGCCTATGTGTGGAGTGGATGTGGATGTGGATGTTTGGCTGCAAGTATGGCCATGGGGGTGTGCTCATGGGCAGGGAACTCCGAGGACCTGAACTGCCTCCTTGGCGCCAAAAGCCTTTGACTTGCTCCCCTTTCGGCCCCTGACTCCCTGGCTCTGGAGCCCTGGCTTCTCCAGGGGCCAGTGTCCTGCCATCCGGGGTGAGGCAAGCCCACAGAGACAGTCTCAGGACTCCCCGCCGCCTCACCCCCTGTCCAGCACCTTGCCTGTGTGAACTGGACCCACGCCCTCCTCTGCCTTCGAAGGACTGGCCTGGGACTCAACACCACTGGGTGGGGGCCCCGGCTCATGTGTAGTTGCTTTTATAGAAGAGGAAGGGGCTGGGATGGGGACTGTTAGTCACCAGCCCTTAAATAAAGCAGCCGATGCAGACTCCTGGCTCTGGTTTCCTGGGTTCTGGTCAGCCCCCTGGGCCCAGTGCGGGGGGGAGAGGAAGGCCATTGTAAAAGGGGTTCGGTCAGTCCTGCCAACTGCCCAACACTTGTCCACTAGACAAGCATCCAAGGTGAAACCATGGCAGTGCTGGGCTCAAGGAACTCGGATGACCCCACAGATGTGTGGGCCAACATTTAGTTCCAGTGAGAAATAGGGCAACAGAGCCTGGGGTGCGGGGAGCAGGGTGGTCAGGGAAGGCTTCTTGACTGACGGAGGCAACTCTCAAGGGCCGCCCCGTGAGGCGGTGCCACAGGCTTGCAGGGGAGGAAACAGGCCAGCGGTGGAGGTCACTGGCCCAAGGTCCCACAGCCGGAAAGCACAGCTGGTCCTTAAGCCAGGCCACCTGGCGTCACCTCCCAGGGTACAGACTGAGAGGACAGCTCTTGGTTTTGTGGGGGCTGGGAGCTCGGGAGAAGAGTAACGGTCCTCAAAAGGGACCTTTGTCCCAGGCTGGTGAGGCCCGGAGGCCGGAGGTGGTGCCAGATGCAGGGTGTGGTACAATATGTATTGATCTTAGTCCCCGTCCATGGCTCAGAGCTACTAAAACTCTTGGAATTTCCAGTGCGATCACCCTGGATAGGGCTGGTCACCAGGAAGATCAGATTACTGAGGGGAACTCCCAGCCACCTTTGGGAAGAGTCAGGAAGAGACGACAGGTTAAGCTCTCTAAAAACTTCAGTAAGGCCGAGACCGATTTGGCTCAATGGATAGAGCGTCGGCTTGGGGACTGAAGGGTCCCGGGTTCGATTCCGGTCAAGGGCATGTACCTTGGTTGCGGGCATATCCCCAGTAGGGGGTGTGCAAGAGGCAGCTGATCGATGACTCTCTCTCATCAATGTTTCTAACTCTCTATCTCTCTCCCTTCTTCTCTGTACAAAATCAATAAAATATATTTTAAGAAAAAAATAAATAAATAAATAAAAATAAAAACTTCAGTAAGATTTGGAGGACAGTGGAAACCTATATAATATATATATTTTTAATTGATTTTTTACAGAGAGGAAGAGAGAGGGATAGAGAGTTAGAAACATCGATGAGAGAGAATCATCGATCAGTTGCCTCTTGCACACCCCCTACTGGGGATGTACCCGCAACCAAGGTACATGCCCTTGACAGAATCGTACCTGGGACCTTGCAGTCCGCAGGCTGACTCTATCCATTGAGCTAAACTGGTTTTGGCCCTATATAATTTTTTTAAAATACATTTTTATTGGTTTTAGAGAGGAAAAGAGAGGAAGAGAGATAGAAACATCAATGATGAGAGGGAATCATTGATTGGCTGCCTCCTGCACTTTGGACAGAGCCCACAACCCAGGAATGTGTCCTTGACTGGAATTGAACCTGGGACCCTTCGGTCTACAGGCCAACACTCGATCCACTGAGCCAAACCTGCTAGGGGGAAACCTATGTAATTTTATCAACCAATAAAATTCATTTTAAAAATTAAATAAAAGGGTTTGATGAGCTTCCAGGCTGGTGAACTGGGAAGGGGGTGGGTATGAAGCACATGGCGGCTCCCTCTTCTTCCCCAGCCTTGCCTGTGCAGCTCTTTCATGGGGCTGTTCTGGTTTATGCCCTTTTATAATAAACCTGTAAGCAACCTGTTTCTCTGAGGACTGAACTATCTAGAGCCAGCTGGTCACAAGCACCTGGACTTGCAAAAGGCAGCCGAAGTGGGGGAGGACCAGCTGGTAGGACCGAGCCCTCACTCTCTGGGATCTGACACTATCTCCAGGTAGTGTCGGAATTGAGTTCCTTGCTTGGTTATTGTTGGGAAAAGCACACATCGTAGCATGGCTGATGGCGAGCACCTGGGCACTGCACAGCGCCTTCAGGTGGTCTCCTGGCTATGAAGGTCCTGATGCTCAGTATCCTGGGGCAGGCCCAGCTCCGCCTCCTGAGCCTGAGCAGCAGGGGGCCTGAGTTTTGGATTTCTCATTGGTACAATGGGAAGGATGATGGCACCTTCCTCCAGGGCCATACTGTGGATGGAGGTTTGGTTTGAGCTACTCTAGAATCACCCTGGATGTTGAGGGACGTGAACAGTTGGCAGGAAGCCCTGACCACTAGGCCCCGCTACTGGGTCTGACCTGTGCCCCCTGAGGTCCACTCTGCCCTGAGATGCTCCTTCCTGGCACTCCCACCTCCCTGCCAAGGCCCCAGGTAAGGTTTGGTCCAGACAGGAGTCAGTGGTCATGGGCCAAGTGGTGGACAGGCCTGGGTGGGATTGCCTCTGGGGTCCAGGAAAAGGGGGCTCAGTGCTCTGGCATCCAGGGCCCGCCCACCCCAGTCTCCCTGACCAAGTGCTAATATGGTGCTGTTCACAGGAGGCGGGCCCCAGAGCGTGGATCCTCAGCGGAGCTTCTGAACTGGCCCTAGGGGAGCAGCACACAGTAGCCAGGCCAAGAGCGTCTGGAATCCAGTTTACAAGGCCCCAAGCACTAAATCATCTGCATGTAGGTCTGATGTCTGTCTGCAGATCCCCCACGTTCCAGCCTCATCCTCTGCCCGGGAAGGGGCGGAGAGAAGGCTGTGCCGTGACCCTGCATGTCTGAATCCTCTCCTTGGAATCCTGACGGAGGCTTGCAAGAGGGATGAGGGGCTGATGTCACAGAACAGGGCCCCCTCTGAAACGGAGGATGGGGGCCTGGCCACAGACTTCTAGGGTCCTGGAATGGCAGGCGAGACGGGGCTCAGCTGTAAGAAGGGAGAGTGAGCCTGGCGCATAAGACAGCAGGCCCTGCCGTCAGCTACTCAACTGCTCTGTGCCAGCCAGTAAAGGCCATTGCTCTGGGCCCCCGAAATGCCCCTCCTCGCCTCCTGCCCTGTCCTCTCACCCCACACATTGCAATCCAGGACTTAAGGGATCCCCTGCCCACAGGGACCTCCAGGACCCAGCTTGTCCATTGGTCGGTGCCAAACATCTTATGTGGAGTAGTCATTTAAGCTTCCCCATGAGCCTGCTGTCCCCATTTTCCTGATGGAAAAACAGACCTGAAGAGGGAAGTGACTTGCCCAAGGTCACCCGTCTGGCCCATTCCAGCATTGAGTTCTTTCCTTACAACTCACAGGCCCCCTGGCAAAGTACATGGGTACTGAGCATGTGTGTGTGGGTATTATGTACATATGTGAGAGGGATTTTTTTTTTTTTAATATATTGATTTTTTTTTACAGAGAGGAAGGGAGAGAGAGAGAGAGAGAGCTACGTCGATGAGAGAGAAACATCGACCAGCTGCCTCATGCACACCCCCTACCGGGGATGTGCCTGCAACCTATGTACATGTCCTTGACTGGAATCGAACCTGGGACCCTTCAGTCTTCAGACCAACGCTCTACCACTGAGCCAAACCGGTTTCAGCGAGAGGGTTTTTATGTGTCTTTTTATGTGGGAGTGTGTACTGCATGTGTGAGTATCTGTAGGTGCCTCTAAGGCTGCAGCAAGCGTACACACACCGCACCCACCAAGAGGTGTGTGTGTGTGTGTGTTTGTGCATGTCTGTGTGTCCTGGGTCCAGCCGAGTGGCTGTGAGCCTGTGTGTATAGAGTGTGGGAGTATGTGTGCCTGTACAGATGTATGTTTGCTCAATGCAGTGTACCTGAGCAAGGCTGTTTGTGCATGTGCAGAGCCATACAGGCTCCCGGACAGAGCAACCTGAGTCTTCAGATGATTTTACAGCCGTTTATTGTGCTCCAGTGAAGTAGAAAAAGAAAGTGCTCGCATTACACACACCGCTGTCACATCCACGTACGCCAGTCGCTGCAAACCAAACTGCGTGTGTCCGCTGGGTCTCTGGGCATGCAGTTGGCTCCCGTGGCGGGAATGGGGTGGGGCAGGCTGAGCCTGGGCTCTGGGGGCTCTGCTTGGGGGGGCTGCTTGTCCTGGGGGAACCACCTGTGAGGGAGCGGGGGACAGCTGGGGTAGCTTTGCTCAGTGCGTCCTTTGGATGCTGTTGGGACCACCTGGCTCGATGTTGGACCCTGCAGTGCTCCAGGGAGGAGAGCCCCCTTCCCCCTCCCCTCAGACCCCCCCAGTCTGCTCCTCCCCCAATGCTAACCCTGTAGGCAGGTGCCAGGGGCTGGAGGGCGCCATGCAGGGGGCAGGGGTTAGCGGGGCCAGGCTAGGCCCAGCCGAGCAGCAGCCAGCCTCCCTGGGGGGAAGGCGGGGCGCAGGGCCCTAGGCGGAGTTGTAGTAGTTGTGTGGGTGGTGGTTTTGGGCAGCCTCCAGCTCCGGGTACTCGGGGTTCAGGCAGTACTTGGGGTCATACACCTGGCGCGGCAGCCCGTACACCGTCATGCCCCGCTGTGAGGCCCCCTTGTTGCTGCCCATCTGCAGGCTGACGTTGAGCATATCGCAGTGCTCCATGCCCAGCCCCGGCTCGAAGATCTGCCGCTTGGTCCCGGGAGCCGTCATGCCGGCCTGCGGAGGCAGCACGGTCAGGCCGTGGGCACGGCGAAGGGCAAGAGCCCCACCAGCCCGCCCCCCGGCCCCCCACACACCTGGCTGGCTCCCTTGTTGGTGCCCATCTGCAGGCTGATGGTGGCCTGGTCCAGGGGTTGGTCGGTGCCCAGCTTGGGGTCGTAGAGGTGGCGCCGGGTACCATAGGCCGTCATGCCCTGCTGGCTGGCAAACTTGTTGGTGCCCATCTAAGGATCCAGAAGGAGAGTCATTTCAAGGTTCCGGAGCCTCACCACAGGTCACAGATGTACCAATGCCCGTGGACACTCACATGGCCCTCAGACAAGGCAGTTTCCACTCATAGGCTACAGACCGGAAGCCGAGGCCCAGAGAAAGGGTCACAGCTCAGTGAGTGGCTCAGAGCACCCAGGCCTGACTTCCAGGTTCAAGTCCCAGCTTGGCCCCTCGTCACCCGGGAGAGCCTAACAGCCGAGCCCGCGTCTCCAGGCCTGTTCCCATATACACAGTCTGACGCTAACAGCCTACCTCTGTGGTCAGCAAACTGTGGCTCGAGAGCCACATGCGGCTCTTTGGCCCCGTGAATGTGGCTCTTCCACAACATACCACGGCTTGGGCGAGACTATTTTGAAGAAGTGGCGTTTGAAGAAGTTTAAGTTTAAAAAATTTGGCTCTCGCCAAAACGGGTTTGGCTCAGTGGATAGAGCGTTCGGTCTGCAGACTGAAAGGTCTCGGGTTCGATTCCGGTCGAGGGCATGTACATTGGTTGTGGGAACATCACCGATAAGGAGTGGGCAGGAGGCAGCTGGTCGATGTTTCTCTCATCGATGTTTCTAACTCTCATTCTCTCCTCTCTAAAAAATCAATAAAATATATATTTTTTGAAAAAATGTGGCTCTCAAAAGAAACTTCATTCGTCGTACTGTTGATATTTGGCTCTGCTGACTAAAGAGTTTGCCGACCACTGGCCTACCTTCTGGAGCTGCTGCGGGAGAGGGTTAGGTACGGAGAGCATCAAGGCCGGATCCGCTATCCACAGAGCCCGCAGGGACCAGGGCGCCTCCCCTCCGCCTCCAGCCCAGGCAGGGAGACTCGGGGGGGGGGGGGGGGGGGGTACCTGCAGCCCAATGATGTTCCTCCCTTCTCGGAGCTTCTCGGGCTCAAATTTCCGCTCCTGCTTCTCCGCATACTTCACGCCCACGTTCACCTTATTCCCTTTCGTCTTGGCCTGGGGGAGCGCAGGGCGGCGGGCGCTGAGGAGGGAGCCTCCCACCCAGGCGGGGCCCCAGACCGCCTCCCCCCCCCCCCCCCCGGGCCCCTCACCCCATGCCCACCTCGGAGCCACACTCACCATGCTGGCCAGCGCCAGGAGGGTGGACTGCACCTGCGTGTGGTTGGTGTTCTCGAACAGGTCATTGGCCTCAAAGATGTCGTGGGGCCTCACCCCGTACTTGGTGATGGCTTTGAGGAAGTTGCCGATGTTCTCCAGCTGGAGGGGCAGGGGCCAGTCAAGGCGGGGGCGAGGCAGAGGGTGGTGCAGGGGGGCGGTGGCGAGGGGTTGAAAGAGTTGAGTCGGGGCTCACCTGGTGCCAGTTTTGTGAGGACTCGTTGACCTTCTTCACAGAGCCTGGCTGGAGCTTATTGATGAACCTACCAGGAGTAGGGAGAGGAGTGACAGGCGACCCCTGCCGCCCCACCCATGCCCAATCCAACAGGACGCAGGGCCAGGATGACAGTCCGTAGGCAACATCCATGTTGCAGCCGCTCTCACCGGGATCCCTCCCCAAAACCCACCCCCAAAACACAGGCAGGACCAAGACGGGGAACCAGCCTGGCTGTGTGGCTCAGTGGTTGAGCACTGATTTGGTTCCTGGTCGGGGCACACGCCCGGGATTGTAGGCTCAAGCCCCAGTGTGGGGCATGCAGGAGGCAGCCGATAGTGAACCTCATCATCGTCGTTTCTCTCTCCCCTTCCTTTCTGAAATCAATAAAAATACTGGGGGAGGAGAAGAGGGGAAACCAAGTGCAGGAGGGTAGACTCCGTCCCTGTCAGTCTCCGTACGGAAGGTGTGTGGGAGTCCCCAGGTGTGCCGAGCGCATCTCCTTCACTCCTACACCGAGGAGAGCCTGCAGCTCAGGCCCCCGCCCTCCCTGCCACACTCACCCCCTCGCCCTCATCCAGTCTCTCGACTTCAAAAGCCACTGATATGCCAGCCGCTCCCCAGTATCTCCCTGGAGCCCCGGCCTCTCACCCTCCGACCCAGCTTCACACACACACGTGTCAAATCAAACGCACCCACCCCGGACCCGACACCCGCCTCGCCCCACTTTCTCCTCCCCTCCCAGGGGCACAGGCTTGTCCTTGACGCTCTGCTTTCTGTCACTCCACACCCAGCCCCTCAGCAAGGCTCTAGCTTCGCCTCCGAAGACCACAGCTTCCCTTCGCCGCCGTCCTCGGAGGCGGCCCCGGCGGCCTCTCCTCGGCTCCCTGTGGGCTCCCAGCTTCCACCTCATCCCCTGCAGACCCTTCCTCTTGCAGCTAGAATCCCCTTTTAAAAACAATTCCAGTTACTCCCCACTCCAAGATGTTCCCGTTGCCCTAACCGGTTTGGCCCAGTAACTAAGAGTGTTGGGCCGAAACTGGTTTGGCTCAGTGGATAGAGTGTAGGCCTGCGGACCGAAAGGTCCCAGGTTCGATTCCGGTCAAGGGCACGTACCTTGGTTGCGGGCACATCCCCAGTGGGGGGTGTGCAAGAGGCAGCTGGTCGATGTTTCTCTCTCATCGACGTTTCTAACTCTCTATCCCTCTCAATTCCTCACTGTTTAAAATCAATAAAATATATTTAAAAAAAAAAAAAGTGTTGGCCTGTGGACTCAAGGGTCCCGGGTTCGATTTTGGTTAAGGGCATGTACCTTGGTTGCAGGCACATCCCCAGTGGGGAGTGCGTAGGAGGCAGCTGATCGATGTTTCTCTCTCTCTCATGGATGTTTCTAATTCTATTCCTCTCCCTTCCTCTCTGTAAATATCAATAAAATAAAAATACGCTCCCATGGTTTCCTAACTCCTTAGCCCCGTGTCCTCTGGCCCTCAATCGGCCCCTCCGCTTCCCCAGTCCCCCCACTCCCCTCAGGGCCTTTGCACTGGCTGCCCCCTGCCCGGCCCCCTCTCCCCTCAGACCCCCGCCCTGTCTCCTTCACTTCGGCCTCAGAAAGACCTCCCTGACCTTCTGTGCAAAGCGGCTGCCTCCGCCCGCCCGGGCCCCATCCTCCCTCACGGCTCTCCTCACTTCACTTCCCACTGTAAGCAAGTACGTGATTGTCTCATCAGTGGTGGACTCCACCTCCCCCACCAGGACGAGGGCTCCCTGTGAGCTCCGAGGGCGGCGACTTCTTTCGTTCGCTGTCCCGGGGCCCAGGCCTGACACAGCGGAAGCCCCGTCCCTGCTGGTGAGCTGGGGCCGAGGGTGAGGGGCTCTGCCCTCCTTTTGTTTGTTAGTCCTCACCTGATGATACTTTTCCCCATTGATTCTTAGAGAGCGTGGGAGGGAGGGGGAGAGAGGAGAGAGAAACATCAATGTGAGAGAGACACATCGGTGGTTTGCCTCCGGCATGCGCCCCCAGCGCCCCCAACCGAGGCCGGGGAATCAAACCTGCCACCCAGTTACATGCCTTTGACCTAGAATTGAACCCACAACCCTTCCGTCCAAGAGCTGATGCTCTAACCACGTAGCCACACCGGCCAGGGGGCTCTGCACTCTCTAAGGCCCAGCAGCCCTGATGGAGCTGGGACGCCAGGCTGCCTCCCTACCTGTCCCCAGTGGACATTGTAGAGCAAGAGGCTCCTGTCCCCCTCTCAGCACCTGGAGCTCGGTGAAGAACATTCCCAAGGGATCACTCTGGTCATCACAGCCACCCTGCCCTGCAGACTCACACATACAGACAGGACCCTGCTGGGCTCAGGGCCCCGCCCAGCACTGGAGCTACTGAGGCTGGAATCAGGGCTTAGAGCTGTGAAACTTGCATCTTTTTTTTTTTTTAAGATTTTTAAAAAATCGTTCTCAGTGATTTGAGTTCTGAGAAGGGTAGACAATCAGAGCCTACTCAAATTACTTCCTTATGTCACCAAGCCAGCGACGACAACCATTGTTGCCTGCTGTCTTAGCTGTGACCGCTCTCTCTTGGGACGCTGGAGCCCATAAATGGGCCCGTGTGCGTGGTGGCTAAGATGCTAGAATCTGCCTGGCTGGTTTTGCTCAGTGGATAGAGCCTCGGCCTGTGGGCTGGGGTCCCAGGTTCGATTCCGGTCAAGGGCACGTGCCCAGGTTCAGGCTCATTTCCCCAGTAAGAGGCGTGCAGAAGGCAGCCAATCACTGATTCTCATCATTGATGTTTCTAACTCTCTCTCCCTCTCCCATCCTCTCTGAAATCAATTAAAAAAAAAAAAAAAGATGCCAGAACCTGGAGTCATTTCTGTGTTGGAAATGCATGGGACTTTGGGTGAGGTTTTACTTGACTCGTCTCAGTTTTCTTTCCTGTCCAATGGGCTCAATGATTAGCTGCCATCTCAGAGGACTGTTTCAAGGTCTGAGATAAAGAGTGCTCAGCCCAGCTCATGGCCGGCGAAGGGGCTGAGGCGGAGAGATGAATACCGGTTGGGGTGAGCCCTAGACAGTCTGGGCCAGCAGGGCCCCACTCACTCGCAGAGAATGATGCCGTCTTTGAGGCCGTCCATGAAGTGGGGGCCGATGCGGCGTCCCGTCACCCCCTCGATCCACTCCCGCAGCTCCTGTTCCCGCTGGAGGTCGTACTTCTGGGCCAGCTGGGCGTGGGGGGCACAAAGAGGATGGTGAGGATCTGAGGGGCAGGCTCTCCTCCCTACGCCTCATCTCCTTCCCCAGCCCTTCCCAACTAAGGCAATTCCGCCAGTGTCCACGGGTGGGGGCGGGGGGTGCCTTCAGGGGCAGAGGGCCAGGGCTGAGGTGGCACCTGCCCAGGGGGCCATTCCGGGCATTCTGAGGTTTGGCACCAAGAATTCAAACAAGGGTGGGTGGAGAGGGGGATACTCTGAGTTGGGGGGTGGTGCCTGGCCTCCTGGTTTCCCCTCCAGGCCAAACTTGGGGCTTTGCTTTCCCTGGCCCTGCCTCCTCTCCTTCACCCCCTCCCTCTCCGTCCCTCCCCGCCCCCCTTTCCTGGAAGACTGGGAGCCTCTGGCGAAGGGGGAGGAGCCCCAGGAGGTGCCCTGGATGCTGCCTTGCAGAGGAGACTGCTCTGTCTTGCATCTCGGTCTGCCTCCAGGTCCATCTGGGGCTCCAGCTCTGGCAGAGGGTCGGGCCTCTTACTTCTGGCTCCGAGCGCTGTGTCTGCTTCTCGGTCTCTCTCCCACTCCTCGGGTCCTCGGTCTCTCTCCCCCAGCTCTGTCTGTCTTTCCCTGGCCCTGTCTGCCTGTCCCCATCTCTCCTTGTCAGGCTGGGAGTGGGGCCCATCATCCTTCTGTGGATCACTCTCCATTCCGGACTGCAGGTTCCCTGCCTCTGGTGGGGGTGGGACTCATCTGTCTCCCCCCCCTTCTACCCCACCATCCGAGTCTCAGTCTTATCTCACTCCTGGCTCGCCCTCCCCCATCTGTCTCTCTCCTGACTCAGGCTCCCAGAATCTTCGTTTCCTTAGAACCCTCGGCCTCCAGCCCAGACAGGCTCCCAGCCCCTGGGGGACCTGACTGTCCCTTCTCCTGGGGGAGGGGACGGACGGGGGATAAGAGAGTGGACCCCTCACCTGGCCCCGGCCCTGCCACCCCCCTCCCCACCAGCCTGGCTTTATAAAGCAAACCGGCCCTTATATAGCACGGCCCTGGGGCTGGGCTCCCTGAGGCCTCCTTATATGGCGCGGCGGCTCCTCTGGGCTCTGGGGCCGGCGCTGGGAGGGGGGGCAGAGGCGGGAGCCCTGGGATGTGTCTCCCGCACGAGCACCCGCCCCCCACCTGCTCCCTTCTCCAGCCACGAGGATCCCTGACCAACACTAGGTCCCAATACCAGCTCCCCACTTCCCGGCTCCCTGGCAAAAGCCATCCCGCACCTCAGTGTTGCCCTCTGTGGAATGGGGCCGGGACTCCTGCGGGCCCCCCCCCCCCCCGGGCAGGCCTCCTGGGGGCATTCCAGTGGGAGGGAGACTCCCAAGTTCGCTCCCTTGGAGAAGCTGACCCCGTCCTGGTGCAGAAGGGGGGAGAGGCCAAGGGCATAGCCCTGCACCTCCCTTCTGTAGGACCCCGGCTGCTTGCCTCTCCACTCGGAACCTCAGTTTACCCATCCATAGCATGGAGGTCACGTCTCAGTGCCTTCCTCATTCCGAGATTAGGACACCCCTGCCCTGTGTCTAACGCCCACTCTGCCCTCCTCCGCTGCCTCCTCTCCCTTCACTTTCTCAGGCTTCACCTCCCAGGAGCCCCAGCTCCCAAGTGCTCCCCAATTTATTTGTCAGCCTGGGGGGGGGAGGGCGGGAATCAGCACGCCTCCCCCAGCCCACCAGGAAAACAAAGGGTTCACAGGGGATTCTCATGAAGTGGGGTCTTCACAGTGGGTGCCCCCCCTCCCCTCCCCCAGCAGCAGCTGCGGGCTCTGGGATGCTCAAGAGGGGGAGGGAGGCAACCTCTGTGGTACACTTGTCCCTCTTCCCTCTCAGGTTCCAGGTCACATGGGACAGGCAGGAGGGCGTCCAGGGGACCCCAAGAGCGGGGCCTCTGGCCTGGCAGGGGGTGTAGGCCAGGCCAGGGGCGGCCCTGCAGCCCTACCTTGTTCTTGACCTCGGCCGACAGGCCGTAGGCGGGGCCTCGGTTGAAATGGGCAGAGGACATGCTGGCCGCTGGTGGCAGTGGTGCCGGTGGCTCTGAGGGCGCTGCAGCCGCTGAGGCTCTGTCTGCACCCTCTTCCCTCCTCACACGTTTTTGAAGCTACGGAGGCGGCCCGGGCCCCTTCCAAGGCCGTCCCATTGGCCGCAGGGGCCTGCCAGGGGGCGGGGCGCCCCCCCACCTTGGCCACCCCCCCTTTCGTGATGTCAGGGCCTTGGTATTGGGAGCTGATGGTGTCATTGTTTCCACCTAGGGGGGCGGCCGGGGTTATTCTTCTGTGGGGGGCTTAGCCAGACAGAGGCCAACCTCACCCTCCTCCTCCCCGGCCCCCACTGTTCACGGGGCCCCTGGCTGGGTCTCCCAGGCCCTGTGTCTGTCTCAGAGGCGATTGGCCTCTCTGACGCCATCTCTCCGTGTCTCTTTCCTGTCTTGTGGCAGAACTGCCACCCATGGTAGTCAAACAGCCCTCCGAAACCAACAGACCTTCACTCTAGACAGCTGCCTTCTCTCTGAGCCTTGGTTATCACATCTGTAAAATGGGCGGATGATAATGCCTGCCTTGTGAGATTCAGAAGAAGCGAGGCCTCGGACATGACCAGCGCAGTGCCTGGCATAGGGGAGAACTCAAGAAATAGCAGTCCTGTCCTAACCGGTGTGGCTCAGTGGATGGAGCATTGGCCTGTGCACTGAAAGGTCCCAGGTTCGATTCCGGTCAAGGGCTTATACCTTGGTTGCGGGCACATCCCCAGTGGGGGGTGTGCAGGAGGCTTCTGATTGATGTTCCTCTCATTGATGTGTCTAACTCTCTATCCCTCTCCCTTCCTCTGTAAAAAAACAATAAAACAGTTTAAAAAAAAAAAAAAGAAGAAGAAGAAGAAAAGAAATAGCAGTTCTTTCTGCTGAGAATCTGGCATCGCACCTCTGTCTCCTGCAGCCCCTCATAAGATCCTGGGGGAGCAAAGATCCTGGCTCTCACCCTCCCCATCTATCTGTGGGTTGAATGTGTTAGCAGGTGACATCCCCATACATCCCTGTCCCAGCCAAGATGACCTGGACCATAGGGTGACATGCTCACATATGTCAGGGCCATGTTGGTGACACCTGGATGATCTGTCAGCAATGAACCACCCACTCTGTTAAGGACACCCCATTGGCTGGCCATATGCTAAAGGCACAGCTGTGATACACTAATATGACAACAGCCCTCGTGTCAGCTCCTGTTGCAAGCACTGTACACGTGTCAACTCCGTCCTCACAACACCCTCAGAAGTGGACATGGTTTTAAACACAACCTAAAGGTGGGGAAACTGAGGCACGGGGTGTGGAGTCACTTCCCCAGTGTCACACACAGCTTGCCAGTGGCAGAGCGGAGTTTGAACCCAGGTCCCTGCCCTGAATCCTGTCGTCATCAGGCTGGAGAATTAATTCCTCCCGGTGGGGCGCGTCCTGGGCAGCACCCCGGGTTTCTGCCACTGGCTACCGGGAACACTCCCTGAGTCTTGACACACAGGCATGTCTCCAGACACTGACACATGACCCTGGGGGAGGGAGGAGAGCAGATCTGCCCCATTTGAGAACGACGGGGCTAAGGCAACTAAGGACCAGCGGTGGCATGTTGATTGAAGACACACTAAAATGCATAAAGGAATTAACCATGAACCCCTGGTACGTACTAAATGCGTTGGATCTGTTAACCCGTTCCTCACAACAGCCTGGTGAAGTGGGGTCGATAGGAGGCACGGAGAAGAGAAGCCGACTGCCGGGGGGGGGGGGGGGGTCCCCCAGCACGAGGTGGCAGAGTCAGGATTCGAACTCACCATGCCTGGATCCCGCCGACGCAGAGCGGCCCTCGGCTGGCCACGGGTCGCTACTGCGCATGCGGGGAGCCGCGGCGGCGGCGCTGGCGGCCGGCGCCCCCTGGCGGCTGTAAGCGGCCGGGCGGCCAGCCTGGCGGGCCGGACGGTGACGCGCGCTGACTCACCGCCGCCCGGCCGGCCGCCTGGCCATTTATAGCCGCCGCGCGGGCTCTGAGGTCACGGCCCAGGCACGACGCGGGCGGGCGGGCGGGGGCGCTTGGCGCGGCCGCGGGGGGCAGCCCCGGGGCTCCCCGAGGGTGGCCTTTTCTGGGCCTGTCCCGACTCTCAGCACACACTCACACACACACACTCAACACACACTCAACTCACACACACACTCTCTCACACACACACACGTTCACACACACACACATTCACACACACATACACACTCACATACACACATACACACACGTTCACACACACGTTCACACTCTCACACACACGTTCACACACACATACTCTCACACACACATTCACACACACATGTTCACACTCTCTCACACACGTTCACACACATACTCACACACACACTCAATCACACACATTCACTCACACACATTCACACACACGTTCACACACACATACACACTCACACACACACTCACGCACACACAGACTCACACACACGTTCACACACACACACATTCACACACACTCACACACACATACACACACATTCACACACAGGTTCACAGACACACTCACGCACACACAGACTCACACACACATTCACACACACGTTCACACACTCTCACACACACGTTCACACACACGTTCACACACATACACACACACACTCACACACACATTCACACACACTCACGCACACACACTCACACACACACCCTCTGCCCTCGCCTGCAACCAAAGCTCCCGTCCCCCTTTATCTGCCTATCTGGGCAGCCCCCTTGGCCAGCCCCTCCTCACCCAGTGTGCCCTCTGGAAACGAAGAGGCTGTTGTTTTGGGGGCTCACTTCATGCCAGGCACAACCCACTGAGTCCTCACCACCACCCTCTGAGGGTGGGAACTCTGGGCCCATGTATAGAAAAGGAAAGGAGGCTCAGAGAGGCCAGGCCACTCCCCACCGGCAGAAGCTCCTACAGCCCCCGGGTCCGCCCACGCCGCTCCCGCCTCAGGCCCTCTGACTGGCAGTTCTTCCACTTGGACGCACGTCCCCAAGACACCTACGTGGCCTTTCCTCGCTTCCTCTGCTCCAATGTCGCCTTTTCAGAGGTCCGCCCTGACCACTTGCTCTAAAACAGTAGCATCCCATGCCAAAGCCGGATTGGCTCAGTGGATAGAGTGTCAGCCTGCGGACTGAAAGGTCCCAGGTTCAATTCCGGTCAAGGGCATGTACCTTGGTTGCGGGCACATCCCCAGTGGTGGGGAAAGGGGGTGGGGGGTGCAGGAGGCAACTGATCGATGTTTCTCTCTCATCGATGTTTCTAACTCTCTATCCCTCTCCTTTCCTCTCTGTAAAAAATCAATAAAATATATTTTAAAAATAAAATAAAACAATAGCATCCCAGAGAGGGAGGGGAGATGTTCACATGTTTTCACCTGGCATAAAATGTCTACCTCCACAGAAACTTTTATTTTACGAAGTGATCTTAAAGCACCTTCCCCTCCTCTGGCTCCTCTCCTTGCTTCCATTTTTTTTTTTTTTTAATCATCTCCTATTTGCCTATTATCTCTCATCCAGCAAGAAACACCACAGGGTGGGGCTTTGGGTGTTCACTGCTCTATCTCCAGAGCCTGGTAAGGTACTTGTCCATAGCAGGTGCTCAAAAAATGCTGAGTGTGTAAGTAGAATTAAAGGGAGTGAGCCAGGTCTCTCAAACCCGTGTCTGTCTGAGATGTTGCTGCTTAACCACACAAAGGACTGGCACAGATTTTTATATATTTTTAAAATATATTTTATTGATTTTTTACAGAGAGGAAGAGAGAGAAATAGTTAGAAACATGGATGAGAGAGAAACATCAATCAGCTGCCTCTTGCACACCCCTCACTGAAGATGTACCAAGGCCAGCAGGGGGTGGAGTTGGGGGCAACCAGGCTGGCAGGGGGGCAGATGGGGGCAAACAGGCTGGCAAGGGGGGGGCAGTTAGGAACAACCAGGTCTGCAGCGGGGGCAGTAAGGGGCAACCAGGCGGGGGGTGGCAGTTAGGGGCAACCAGGCAGGCAGGCAGAGGCAGTTAGAGGTGATCAGGCTGGGAGGAGGAGCAGTTAGGGATGATCAGGCAGGCAAGCAGTTAGGAGCCAGCAGTCCCAGATTGTGAGAGGGATGTCCAACTGCCATTTTAGACCCGATTCCGGCAGTTGGACATCCCCTGAAAGGTCCCAGATTGGAGAGGGTGCAGGCTGGGCTGAGGAGACACCCTCCCACCATGCACAATTTTGTATACCAGGCCTCTAGTAAGTAATAATACAATAATAAACTGTTTCTCATACTCACAACTGAAAACCTACTTTTGCCCTATATATGTGTGTGTGTGCGTGTGTGTGTGTAGCGAACCTGGGACCCTTCAGTCAGCAGGCCAATGCTCTAGACTCTGAGCCAAACCAGCGAGGGCAAGTCTGTAGTTTATTAATAGTATTGTGCCAAGGGTCCCAAGTTATATATTTATATACATGTTTAGTCCCATTTCTCTGGGGAACCCTGTCTATTTAGTATACTTTCTGAACTAGCTTTTTTTTTTTTTTTTTTTTTTTAAGAATAGTCTTTATAGTACAAGTGTAGGTATGAGAAGAATGAGCTATGTACAAGAACACTGATTTCAGTGGCCTTTTTAATTACAAGTCGCCCTATAGCTCTACCAAGAAACAAGTGAGATAGACAAAGCTGTAGGCAGAATATGCAGTATTTTGTTTAACTTAAATAAAGGCACTGTGGTGCTGCGGTTAAGGGTAGGGACTCTGGATCCATCTTCCATGGGTTTAAGATATACACTAGTGCTTCCTGGCTGTGTGACCCTCCACAGGTGGCTTAACCTCTCTGTGCCTCATTTTCTCCTCTGGAAAATGAGCATATTAATAATACCTGCTTCATAGCTTTATTTATTTATTACCTTTTATTTTGAGATAAGACTTATACACCCAGCCAGCATGGCTCAGTGGTTGAGCATTGACCTATGAAACAGGAGGT